CTAAATATCTGCTCTTCATAATTACTGAATATAAGGTCTAGGGGAATTTGGTGTTTATTATACTATTCTATTTTTTGTATTAGAAACTTTTTATAATAAATGTTAAGGCCGGCGCCGCAGCTCAATAGGCTAATCCTCCGCCTTGCGGCGCCTGCACACCAGGTTCTAGTCCTGGTTGGGGCGCCGGATTCTGTCCCGGTTGCCCCTCTTCCAGGCCAGCTCTCTGCTGTAGCCAGGGAGTGCAGTGGAGGATGGTCCAAGTGCCTGGGCCCTGCACCCCATGGGAGACCAGGAGAAGTACCTGGCTCCTGCCTTCTGATCAGCGTGATGTGCCGGCAGCAGCGCGCCAGCCGTGGCGGCCATTGGAGGGTGAACCAACGGCAAAAGGAAGACCTTTCTCTCTGTCTCTCTCTCTCACTATCCACTCTGCCTGTCCAAAAAAAAAGTTAAAATACTATGAAAGAATATATAGTTAAGAAAATGACCACATACTATCAAAAGTTGAAAAAGGTAGAATTATAACAGGATCCAATTTATATATATTCATAAATACTCATCTAAACATACTATAAAACATGGAAAAATATATATCATAAAGTTAATAGTTAATCTGTACTAGAATACTTTCTCTTTGCTTTCCAGCATTTCCCATTAACTTGTATTTATGGAATCCATTAAATATATTATAATAAACATGCATTTCTTTCAAAATAAAAGTCATTTCATACAGATTTAGTAGTTCAAAAGTAAATGCTGGGGGCTGGCGCCGTGGCTAACGTGGTTAATCAATCCTCCGCCTGCGGCACCGGCATCCCATATGGGTGCTGGGTTCTAGTCCCAGTTGCTCCTCTTCCAGTCCAGCTCTCTGCTGTGGCCCAGGGAAGGCAGTGGAGGATGGCCCAAGTGTTTGGGCCCCTGCACCTTCATGGGAGACCAGGAGGAAGCACCTGGTTCCTGGCTTCAGATCGGCACAGCCTGCCGGCTGTAGCAGCCATTTGGGGAGTGAACCAATGGAAGGAAGATGTTTTTCTCTGTCTCTCTCTCTCTCTCTCACTGTCTATAACTCTACCTGTCAAATAAATTTTTAAAAATGCTTAAAACAGCCTTTAAAAAGGGTTATTCTATTATTCTTAGAGTAAGGAACAGTTTGTTTCTCCATCTACTTTATTTAATTGGTAATGATAGCTCCAAGTTTGCTAATTATCATATTAGAATTCAATTTTAAAATCTATACACTATCGCCAGTGCCGTGGCTCAATAGGCTAATCCTCCGCCTTGCGGCGCCGGCACACCGGGTTCTAGTCCCGGTCGGGGCGCCGGATTCTGTCCCGGTTGCCCCTCTTCCAGGCCAGCTCTCTGCTGTGGCCAGGGAGTGCAGTGGAGGATGGCCCAAGTCCTTGGGCCCTGCACCCCATGGGAGACCAGGAGAAGTACCTGGCTCCTGCCATCGGATCAGCGCGGTGCACCGGCTGCAGCGCGCTGGCCGCGGTGGCCACTGGAGGATGAACCAACAGCAAAGGAAGACCTTTCTCTCTGTCTCTCTCTCTCTCTCTCTCTCTCTCTCACTGTCCACTCTGCCTGTGGGGGGAAAAAAAACAGTAAAATCAATACACTATTACTTCCTCCCTCTCTTTTTCTGTTCATGCATTAAAAATTTATTATCTACCATGTGAGTGACATAAGGGACACAGTTCCTGTCCCCCCCACCCCCAATCCAATCTCCTTGGAAGATGTGTGTATATATATATATATATATATATTATACACACACACACACACATAGAAAGAATGGGTAGTTATAAACAATGTTAAGTGTAACAATAAGATAAGGGTGGCTATGGCCAGTGTCAGAGAAGTAGAAGAACCAGAAAAGGTGAAGTATCAAAGGAAGAACAGGAGTCACCCAGGTAAGATCATGGTGAAAGCATACCTGGCAGTGGGGAAACATGAAAGAAGAATAAGATTATAGGGAAGCATAAATGATATACTACTGCCAGGTTTGTTAAATACAAGGGAGTGCCCTAGCTCATTTTCTGCTGCTATAACAGAATACCTGAGAATGGGTATATTAAATCTAAGTTTATTTGGCTCATGGTTCCAGCAAACGAAGTTCAACTCTGAGGTGCCATGTCTGGTGAGAGCCTTTTGCTGTATCATTACACGGTGGAAAGCATCAAGGAGGTGGGGGATTGTGGGTTAAGGGATTTGGCACAAAGTCCTGAGACAATTAACCCATTTCTACCATAAGGTCCTTAATCCATTCTGGAGGACAGTGCTCCAGGAAGTAAACATTTTCAAAGATACAACCTCTGGGGCCGGCACTGTGGCGCAGTGGGTCAATGCCCTGGCCTGAAGCGCTGGCATCCCATACGGGCGCCAGTTCGAGACCCGGCTGCTCCACTTCCAATCCAGTTCTCTGCTATGGCCTGGAAAAACAGTAGAAGATGGCCTAATTCCTTGGGCCCTTGCACCCATACAGGAGACCCAGAAGAAGCTCCTGGCTCCCAGTTTCAGACTGGTGCAGCTCTGGCCGTTGTGGCCAATTAGGGGGTGAACCATTAGATGGAAGACCCCTGTCTCTCTCTGTCTCTGCCTCTCCTCTCTCTGTGCAACTTTGACTCTCAAATAAATAAATAAATAAATCTTTAAAAAAAAATAAAGATACTACCTCTGAACACTGTTAGCAATGGTATTTAATTTTTTTTTCTTTTTTTTCTTTTCTTTTCTTTTTTTTTTTTTGACAGGCAGAGTGGACAGTGAGAGAGAAAGAGACAGAGAGAAAGGTCTTCCTTTGCCATTGGTTCACCCTCCAATGGCTGCCACGGCCGGCGCACCGCGCTGATCCGATGGCAGGAGCCAGGTGCTTCTCCCGGTCTCCCATGGGGTGCAGGGCCCAAGCACTCCCTGGCCACAGCAGAGAGCTGGCCTGGAAGAGGGGCAACTGGGACAGAATCCGGCGCCCCGACCGGGACTAGAACACAGTGTGCAGGCGCCACAAGGTGGAGGATTAGCCTAGTGAGCCGCAGTGCCGGCCAATGGTATTTAAATTTTAACATGAATTTCTGGAGAAGACATTCAAGCCATAGCAAGGAAGTGCTGAAGCTGCTGTTAGGCAAGACACATTACTGAGTCTTGCCTGCTGTGTCAGCATACAAATAGAGTGATGAGAACTTTCTTGCTCAGAATGTATGTTCTGAATTTTTGCTATAAACTTTAATATAATTGATTTTGAGATTATAAAGCCTGTTTCTATGTTTAAAAAACATTTTTTTTTCTAAAAGTGACTAAATACTGTCATTATTAGATAACTACAGTAGCTCCCCTTATCCTCAGTTTTTCTTTTGAGGGTTTCAATTATCTGTGATCAACTGTGATCTGAAAACATGAAATAGATAAATCTAGAAATTAAAAATTCCAAAGTTTCAAATTGCATACCAATCTGAGTAGTCTGATAAAAATCTCATACTATTCTGCTGTCTCACCTTATATATTACTATACATGCTATTTTATTTGAGTATCAGAGTAGTCACTTCACTTACTTGATTGACTCTTGTGGTATCACAGTGCCCTCTTATTCAAGTAATTCTTATTCCACCTATGGTCCCCAAAATGCAAGAGTACTGATTGTGGCAATTTGGCTATCCCAAAGTGAAAAGGTGAAAATAAAATAGAAACAGACAGAAATGGGGGGCAGGGGAGATGACCATAATAATGTAACTTTTATTTCATTATATTATTATAATTGCCCTATTATATTGTTGCTAATGTCATACTGACTGTGCCTAACTTAAAAACTAGACATCATAGCTGTATATGTACAGGAAAACAACAAAATAAGAAATTTATTTTGCAATATTTAGGAGCAGAAGATTCTGTAGTTCTTCAGATCTAAAAGATATTTTATTTATTAATTTTTATGTTATTTGAAAGGCAGAGAGACAAAGTGAACACGCTTTCATCTGTTGGTTCATTCCCAAATGCCTGTAAATGCCAGGGCTGGGCCAGGACAAAGCCAGTAACCTGAATTTAATCCAGGTCTCCCATATGGGTGGCTGAGATCCAACTACTTGAGTAATTACATGCTACCTCCCAGGTTGTACATTATCAAGAACCACACATGGTGCTGGGACTTGAACCAGACCCTCTAATATGGGATAAGGGTGTCATAAACGGTATTTTAATCACTGAGTCAAATACCTGTACCATAAGTTTAAAAAAAGCTTTTCAAGTTTTAAAATTTAAAATCTCTTATATCCATTGGTTCATTCCCCAGATACCCTCTGCCAGGGCTGTGCCAGGCTGAAGGCAGCAGCGTGGTGGTCAATCTGGGCCTGCAATATGATGGCAACAACACAAGGACTTGACTTATTGTCTTCCAAGATGGAATCAGAAGTGGAGACTTGAATTCATGGGATAAGCATGTCCTAAATGGTGCTTTAACTACTGTACCAAATGCCTGAAAAACTAAGAACACCTTAACCTATAATCTGAAACTCTGAATACACAGTGTTCAAAAAGTTTCAAATTTCAGGTTCCAAATATACAGAGTTTGGCACTGGGGATCTTGGAATCTTATCCCCAGGGATAAAAGGGGCGCACTGGACTATTACATGAAATAATCACTTTGGGAAAAAGAATGAAAGACAAATTCTCTATCAAGAATATGTCATTTTTGTAACTGAAAAGAATACAAATATATAGCATGGCTCCTTTTAAGCATGTCCATCTTTGGCTCACCCACCCCCAAAAAAAAAAAAAAATCCCTAATTCCAAATTTACAAGGCTTTCTGGAAGAGTCAGCAGTACCCTACTACGCTAATGCTCCTCTGAAACAGGCATTTTGGTGAAGATTTGGTTGGTAGATGAACAAGAAACAAAATCAAGTCTTCAAACTTAAAACACAAAACATTAATCATTGCCTCAGTGGTATACCATGCACTTTTTTTTTTTTTTTTTAGGATGCACTTTTAAATCAGTAAAGGTGGAAGAGTGCACTTACATCTCGGGCTTTCACAAAGAAGGCCTCTTGAAAAGCAGCTTCTAATGAGCCAATAAAAAATACAGGATGGCAGTCACCATATCTATAGGAAAAATTGAATCTATTAATGAAGATACATTTTAAATTCATTTCAAGGATTCACAAATCTAAACAATGACTTTTAAGTTAGTGCAGACCAAACAGTACAACATTTCTTTAAAAGCTTGGAAATGAGTTCCATTATTTTTTAGAATTCTTCTTGGCCTATACTGATATTTGAAACACTGAAATTTCAAGTAAATTTAAGTAAAATAAAGTAAATAGATTTAACAAGTACAATGAAATTATGCTATTATAAAGAGTAATTCTTGATTAATGAGTTTCATAAGATTTTTCTGGTCTACATCAGCCTTAAATTCCTTTGTTACTTCATTTATTTAGGAATTATAACAGAGACAGTGAATTATTTTTTTGCAGTTTCCAAATCACATTACATCAGAAAAGAGCACTAAATTAAATATTATTTATATACCAAAGTTGAGGATTAAATATTTATCCTCTTTAAATTTATTTCATCAGACTTTCAAATAATATAAAATGTTTTATATTAGACTATTAAAGAAAATGCTAAACAATTCTAAAATAAAAATGGAAAGAAAATTCATTTATATTTATAATTTTAAAATTATCTTTTTACTTAATATTATTCTATCTGTTCTAGTATTCTGTATTTTCGTTCTCTTAGGTATATAATTCAGATATTAAGCCAGTGATTCATTTATTGAACTTCTATAAAAATATAGCAATAAGCTGAATAGATCTTTGAAGCAGCATAAATGGCTTAGTTGTTATATTACATTAAATGGTATGTGTTTCCCTATCTGGATAGTATAAATTAATAAGTCTATCCTTTGAATACTTTAAGGAGAAATTTTGAATAATCTATGATTAAAATTGCCCCAGAAAAATCACAGTTGCATACAAGAACATCAATTTTATATAGTTAATATCCTAACCCTACCTTGAAGAAAACTCTGCTGTAAATTGTAATAAGGCATCTCCTTCATTTTCTGCGTTTTCTGGCACTAAAAAACAAACAAAAGAAAAAACAAAAACAAAAAAAAACCAAAACAAATAGACACAAAAAACAAACCACATAACATCTAATCCCACATATAAGAAATATATGTAATCAATAAAGAGGAAATAAAATTAAATCTTAGCTTTTGTGATATATCTGAAGGGACATTTTAATTCAACATACATTAGGAGATTTCATCAAGTTAGAATGAAAAAGAACCTTCAAAAAACTACCAGCTCACAAATTTTGAAAACTGACACAATCCTACTAAGCATTTAAAATATATGCCAGTCATCAAATAGGATTTCAGTGTTTTCTTGAAATAAATACCTTGTGATTATATTATATAAAAAGGGTCTTGAAATTATTTTAAAAGCCTTACAAATTGGGAAAGTAATAAATTTTATGTAAATATCACATCTGTTTCGGCCCACAGGAGTTCCTTAATTTCAGAGTAAGTGAGTAATTTAAGGACATATGTTAGCAGTCACTTTGCATATAGTACTGCTTACTGTTCTACAGCATGCATCTCATAAGTGCAAGTGAGAGAGATGGCATATATATATTTTTTCCAAAGATGGCTACTATTGAATTGAAAAGTAGAATTACTATTCTTAAAAGTGATTCTGTGATAGTATGATAGGAAACAAGTACAATCACAGAAAGTACAGCTGTTTGTTGAGCAACCTCTAGGTTTAAAGGAAAGCAAATCTTACCCCATTGTATATGTGAAACCAAAGTAACATTCCCTTCCATTTTTTATAAATTTTACTAATATGCTGGGAATTTGATGGCTTAATAAAATAAAAACAGAAAAGGCTCTTGTTCTAATAAAGACTGTCCACTCACTATATTTCATCTTTTCAAACCTAGAGTTCATAAAGAGATTTTTAACTCACTGTTCATGAAAGTTGTGTACTAGAAGAGAGAATTATAATATTGAACCCAAAGAGTTATCAATACTCACTCATTGGAGATTTTCTCAGGGCAGATGATGCCATGCCGAATACTTCTCCATCATCCACCCCAAATTCTGTAGCATCTTCAAAGTCATCTCCATCACTATCACTAACCATATGAACATCGGTGCTTTGCTATTCAAGGAAATTTCTGATTAGTTTCATAGTGATTTTATCATATCAAATTTAATGCTATATAATCCTAACAGGACACAGTATTGTAAGTTTTATCAATACATCATTTAATAGAATAAAGCTAAGGCTTACATATATCTCTAAATTTGATGTGATGCCTATAGGCCAAAGGTTGGAGGGCAAATGAAGGATGATTACAAACTTAATAAAACAGATTATCTTCAGCTACAGGATATAGTTAAGCACTTTTTAAGTGAGGAAATGGGTACAAATGCACAGAAGGAAAAGTAAGCTATGAATGTCTCAAAAAGCTCACACTAATCTATTGAAGACAGAACCAATGCTAGCATTATCAAAGTTGGAATTTTCTTACTGCAGTGGTTTTTAAATTTCTCTTTAGTGAAATGAGATAAATATGGTAGACTATCCTTATTGTGTTATTGGAAGATAGTATGAACTACACTACTCTTTGTAAACTTACAGCTATTAAATATGAAACGTAATAATATTTTAATTCAAAAAATGTTTATTGAGAATTTACAACATGCTAGGCACTGAAAAACATGCTCTACTTCTTTTGTTCTGTTTTCAGTAACATCAGTTAAGCTTAAGGTATTAAAAACATCAGCATTGGTAAGTAGACATTCAGCTGCCTGGGCCCAAATTCTGGTTCCAGTTCCTGATTCCAGCTTCTTCCCACTGCAGACCCAGGGAAGCAGACGGTGACAGTTCAAGTAGTTAAGTCCCTGCTACCCACACAGGAAACCTGAATGCAGTTCCTGACTCATGGTTTTAACCAGGCCCAGTCCTGGTCACTGTGGGCATTTGGGGGAGTGACCTTCGTGCCCTTCCCTTCCCTCCCCTCTTGTACCCTCTTCCCTTTCTCCTTCCCACTCCTCTTGGTTTCTCTCTCAAGTAAATTAAAACAAACAAAAAATCAACTTCAAAATATGAACCAGGCTGCTGTTCTTTAGTTTAGAATAGGATTCCATGATCATGACATTTAAAACATTTGAATCAATTTGTAAATATTGTCAAAAATACTCATGCTTCAGTAGAGAAGAGGTACAAGCAAGCTATCTGTTTAAATGCCTGTCTGTACTCTATTCAATAATTAAAGTCTACAAGGGCTATTTAGTAAATAAGATTTCTCTCTCTCTCTTTTTTTTTTTTTCCAGGCAGAGTGGACAGTGAGAGAGAAAGAGAGAAAGGTCTTCCTTTTTTTTTCTGTCAGTTCACCCTCCAATGGCCACCACGGCTGGCGCACTGCGGCCGGCACACCGCGCTGATCCGAAGCCAGGAGCCAGGTGCTTCTCTTGGTCTCCCATGCAGGTGCTGGGCCCAAGCACTTGGGCCATCCTCCACTGCACTCCCGGGCCACAGCAGAGAGCTGGACTGGAAGAGGAGCAACCGGGATAGAATCCGGCGCTCTGACCGGGACTAGAACCTGGGGTGCCGGAGCCGCAGGTGGAGGTTAGCCTACTGAGCTGCGGTGCCGGCCAAGATTTCTCTTTTAAAATATAGCTCTTTGTACTTAAGGTATAAAAATGGGAAAATAATTCCATCTTTGAGTCTACGCAGAAGAGCCTGCTTTAGAAATAAATATCTGCCAGAAAAGCATTAAGAAAAACACAATCAAAGACTCTTATTTAGCTACAGGGAATGTCAGAAATCAGCCAGTTACTGAATCACAGATTTTAAAGCTGGAAGAGATCTTAGAGATCTCTCAGCAGTAGTTTTCTACCTTATTTCACAGGGTTACCCCTGCCCCGCATGCTCCACGTGCCTAAATAAAGCATGTATAATGACAATGCATAATGTATTATGCATATTGCAATAGACAGAAGTAGAACTGCTCTGCTTGATGTTAGAGGGCTACAGCCATGGGTGTTTTAATGCTCTTGGATTTGGCATTTTCTTCCTCCCACCCATTTGACAGGTAAGGTATCTCTGAAGAATCTCAGGATTCTGTGGAACACTTTTTAAAACCATTGGTTTAGTGGGTCTTGTTGTTTCAAATGTGGAGCTAAGATATTTACTCCATTTGACTCAGTATGTTCAGCATTTTCTGCTCGGGCATATCCAAACATTATTGCCAACAATTACATTTTCACTCTCATTTCAGTCTTTCTAATGCTTTGTATAGACAGGTAACAAAGATATACTTTTTGGATGAATAAATGAATTGTCTGTGCTATAAGCCATTTACTTCCTCTTCTGATTCTACCTCTATTTTGCACAAAATTTGTTGCTAAATGAAATCCTAATCCTTTCCATATTTTTTTCTGCAAAACCAAAATCTTCCAGTTTCAGCTATTCAATAACCTAAAAATTCAAAACTCTTTCTTATTTCAAAGCCATCAGAGAGCCTCCTCTACAAAATAACATATTTACTAGGACAATTGTGTTTGAATTTCCTGTTTCATGCAATCAAATGTCTGCAGTGTGAAGTTCACTTTAACACTAAGGCTTAATCTTAGATAAAGAATCAAGACCTACTGTATGTTACTTTTTAGTGCTGGGTCAGGTTCTCAACCAAGTGGAAAGAAAGGAAGGCCCAGGGAAGGGTGACAAAACTTCTCACAGCCTCTCTTAGCTGAGCTATCCTCTTAGTCTTCACTTAGTCTTGCCTAGTATACAGGCTTCTCTTTGAGAGGCACTAGTTTAAGAATAGTGGTTGGGGGACACATGGAAGAAAAAAGGGAGATGTTCTATAAACACTTCTTTCTTCTTTCATCTTTTATTTCACTGTGCTACATCTATCCCCTTTATCAAAATTCAGCTTCCAATCAAATAACAGCCCTTTTCAATACAATAACACTTTATTCCATACTGATAGTGATTTCAATTTATCCATGTGTCTACCTAAATCATTATTTGTCTTCAGAAAGTACAGAGTCCTCCAATCTCTTAAAATCCCTGAAAACAAAATCCTACAACCAAAACATCTTCAAAGGCAGGTATCTAAAAAGCCAATTTTGTTGAAAAAAGTATATTTCAAATATGAATTATTGAAGTAACTGCAAGAATGAGCTACTTAATTATGTATAAGGAACTCCCAATCTCTTCACATTTTCTTATCAGTCATCTAACAGGTTAGGGAAAGCTTTTTCTAAAAAATGAGATAAACAATCTTTTTTCATTAATGTTTGCTGATGAGAATAGACAATCTCTTGCTATCTGTTATGGCTGTCCTAAAATTGTTTGAATCCAAAGAAGCTATTGATTCAGAATTTAAAAAACAGCTCAAAATTCTGTGATTCTATTTTGGCTTTATTTTATTCATTTATTCCTTTCATCATTCAACAAAATTTTATGAATCCCTACTTAGTGCCAAACTGTCTGAAGCTGTTTGAAAGACACAGCCCATGTTCTCTCAAGGAGCATTATCTATGATATATAGATAATTATAATACTGAGTGATAAGTGTCATGACACATAAATTCAAAGGAGAGCAACAAACTCACTGGGAGTGGGAGCAACAAGAAGAAATTCTAAAGGAAATGCTGACAGACAAAAATTCATAACTGTTATTAAAACAAGCTTATAAATGAAGCATGTTTCATTCCGAAAACGAACTACCTGTTATGTTCAGGGACTAGGTTAAAAGGTAGGGATATAGAAATAAAACAAGGCTCCAGGCTTCAAGAAATTCCCATTCAATAAGATACTTCTTTAGAATGTGGTATATACGTGTGTATTTATAAGAAATACAATGAAGCTATAAACAAATGATATTGGAGAATAAAGGGGACAGTGATAAGTGATTTTAGAACTAGTAAGGAAGAGTGCAAGGTCTTACACAAGTGCTAAAACTTAACTCACACTTTGAAGAAAGGTATCAAGGTTCATGCGAAGACAGGGGCAGAAAGACTTGTAAACTAGGTAAAGAAAAAATTCAAGGAAGTAAGTGTATATTTTAAAAATCAATAAAAAATTCAGAAAGACAAAGTGAATCACCAGCCCTGTATGTAAGAGGAAAGTGTGGATTGGTAGCAAGGGAAAATGTTTGATGGAGGGCCAGCACTGTGGCCTAGCAGGTAAAAAGCTGCAGCCTGTAGTTCCGGCATCCCATATGGGCACCAGCTCAAGTCCCAGCTGCTCCACTTCCAATTCAGATCTCTACTATGGCCTGGGAAAACAGTAGAAGATGGCCCAAGTTCTTGGGCTTCTGGAAGACCCAGAAGCAGCTCCAGGCTCCTGGCTTCCGAGCGGCCATTTGGAGAGTGAACCAGAGGATAGAAGACTGGTATATCTCTCTTTCTCTCTCTCTCTTTCTCTCTCTCTCGCTCTGCATCTGTAACTCTGCTTTTCAAATAAATAAATAAATATCTAGAAAAAATGTTTGATGGAAATTCAATTGTGGCAGTCCTTAAACAGATGTGCTAAGATATTTGGATTTAACCCTGATAGCAAAAGGGAAATCACTAATGGTATTCAGGCAAAGGAATGTTCAAGGAAATAATTCTGATGGCTGTGTGTGTGCCTAAGAGGGAGAGAGAGATAGACAGACAGACAGACAGACAGAGACAGTGATGGCATATGGCAGATTAGACATGAGGATATGAGAAGGGAGACCTATTTCACAATTTGAAGTATTAGAAGTTAACAGCCTACACTAGAGCAACAGAAACTGACTAAAGGCGACAAACCAAAAATATAGTACAATAGAACTGATAGGAGAATTGTTGACCAATGATCTCTGGGGAAGAACAAAATGGAAAAGGCAAAACAACATCAAGATTTCTACAGAAGGCCAAATCTGGTGAGAGACAACACGGAGGCTGGTTCTCATAAGAATAAACTTGAGGGGCCGGCACTGTGGCGTACTTGGTTAATCCTCCGCCTTTGGCGCCTGCATCCCATATGAGTGCCGGGTTCTAGTCCTGGTGGCTCCTCTTCCAGTCCAGCTCTCTGTTGTTGCCTGGGAAAGCAGTGGAGGATGGCCCAAGTGCTTGTGCCCCTGCACCCGCATTGGAGATCAGGAGGAAGCACCTGGC